ACATACAGGAATCGTTTCTGTATTTGAATTTTTTGGCGTCTCCGCGTACTGTCTACTTGTTTTGATATTTACGCGATATACATAGTTACACGACGCTCCTGAAACGCTAGGGCTATCCACGGTTTTACAAATACCGAGATATTGTAATCAACAACCAACACATATGAATTTCGATTCTTGTTTCTCAAGAGCGAAAGTGATCTTCTCAAGCTGAGTCCCATCGACCACGGCCTCGATGAGCTAAAATAAATATTATTTTCTCCTGGTACGCCGCTTAATCTACATCGAACTTGGCGTTTCTCCATGTGATGTTCGTCGGTTGCGCTTGCGTTGAGGCCCAACCCTTTGTACGTTGAGCCGATTTTAAAGGGGACGCGCTAGGTTCAGCTGATTTGACCTATTGCAGATGAAATATCTGCGGGTACTGCAATGCGTTTTAGCATTTAAAATACCCCACCGATACCTTCCGTACTCATTTTACCATTTTTGAGAAAGCAGTGGATATTGCAAAATTTGAGGAGTACAGCTTCTGTGCCGCGAGGACAGAGAAAAGTGCTGAGAATGAGCGTCTACGGCCGCACCATAATTATTGACAAGGGAGGAGAAGATAGCTGGAAGCCTCTCATCGGACGATTAACATCTTCTATTCCGGTAGAGGGTCAGACGCCATTGCGGCTTTAACTTTGATTCTCGTTGTTATTTCCACCAAATTAATGCTTCTTTGTCGAGAAGATTTTTTGAGCACTCCAGATAGGCAGAGAGATCTTCGCCATTTTAGTCGGTGCAGATTTCCCACGTAGAGAGCACCACTTTTATCGTTGCATTGCTCGTAAGTTCCCTTCAAAGGCAATGGCAGTCATTATAAGCGGTCCAAGGTGGAACTCATCGTTTAGCCAACGGCTTCAGGTTGAAGCGCCACTGACCTACCCACCAGCGCAGTCTTATCGCTAGTGAGCACGTCCAGGCGAGCGATTACCGCATACAACCCTATGGTTGCTAATTCCTTAATCCGATATGGGACCATGATAGACACTGCAGCGGGGCTGCCGTTGCTTAGCGCTTGAGGGAGCGTAGTTTAGGTCACCGAACTTTCGGTTTTTACAAGAACCAAAACGAGTGTAGTGGATCGCAATCCGCTAACTCCACGAGTAGTTACTACTTAACCGAGGCTAATAAAATCTTCGGTTTAAACTCTAAAGTGATTTTTATTTATTTTTATCTGCGGTTAAACCGCTTAATTTTTATATGTATAGATTTTATTAATATATATAGTAAAATCTAAATACATGCATAATCACTGGCTACCAAGTCACATACCGGGTTCTTATTTGGGTGCAGTCACACCATGCACATCTTGTGTGACACACACCCCTTTTACCAGGGTACGTGTGACCCCGTTACACCCTCCCATATTAAGATTGAGAGCATTTACAGTTTCAATCGATCATTGCCTCAACGAGGCTAACGTGTCCGCTAGACACTGCAACTTAATTCGTTGGAATAAAGCGGCTTCCTTGCTCAATGAGTCTTGTGTCAACGGCACGGAAGCATCAAGTCTGACAGCGAATACGGGCAGAGCCCAAGTTCGTTCCCACACGCGGTGCGAAGTCGAACAGTGCGTCCGCGGCACCGGAAGGTGTTCATCCTAGGCTCGATGAGCACAAGCCTCGCGCTTAGCGTTCGTTATCAATGACGAGTGACCTCGTTGAGGATGTGGAGGTGGTCGACTACGAGTCTGACACTCCTTTTCCCGCATGGGCTGACGACGAAGGGGAGCTGCGCCAATCGGCGTGATACGAGCCCTGCTCGTGCCTTGCGGACCCCATGTCCGTTCCCTGACTTCTTGTCAACCGAACCTGGTATAATCACCAATGACCTCGACGGGGTTTAGAGGCGGCAGCTTGAAGCTGCCCATAAGGTGGCTCTGAAGCGCGCCCATCCACGGCCGGTCATTGACCCACGTGTGGAATTTGGCTTCAGCTCAGCGGATCCCGCTGTGGAAGCGACGGACGCAGTAACTCGATCGTTACGCGTCCACATCATCGGGTCCCCAGCCAGAACTGAAGATGAACTTGCCACACGGAAAGCTCTTCGAGCTCGTTTCTTGGTCCAACAAGAAATTCCGCTGGACGTTTATCGCACTCGTTTACGTGCTCAACAAGGTACCTGCAATGCGGACGATACCTGTAGTGCTCGCCTCTGGCGAAAGCGGTGCAGATGACGAAGCGCACTTTGAGTGATGGGTGCAACGGCACCGCAAACTTTTCTCACTGTATAACTTACAGCTGAGCCACAAGGAAGTGGACGTGCGTGTGGAGCGACACCTCCGATTTGAGTATGCAAATCTCAAGGCACGCCGTCGACTTCCTTCGGATAGTCGCCCTGCGACGTATGGCTTAGCCCTTATCGCTCCCGCGAGCTCTGTGTCTTCGACCGCAAGAGCTCAGGGCCACTGCTTGAGTCCAGCCCATGGACCGTCTACTTCTCTGGCAATTGCCGGAAAGCGCGAGGCGTCTGATGACTCGGGACTTTCTGATCTTTCCGATCAAAAGCATCCTTGGCGACTGGGCAATGTTGCCGAAGTGGCGCCTCAAACTCCCACGAGTTTACGGAGTCGGGATATCCCCGCCACTTCACCAGACATTGGGTTTGACCCTGATGACGACGTCGTCTCACACGACGTTTCACAGATAGTGGACATCACCTGATAGTGGACGTCACCGTTCTCCTCGGGAAGAGTCGGTGGCGGGCCGTGACGACCGGGTTGACCGCCGTTCGGTGACTCGTGATGCTCTTCGAGCCCTTGAGGACAAGGTCCTTCGTGATCGGAGCACCGCTGAGCGTCATGATCAAGTATCATTTCACTGTGCGAACGCTCTTGACGTTAAAAAGCACGTTGTGCGCCGGCTGCCTCGCCTTGAGAACTACCGCGCTCCGTCGGAGCAACTCTTAGCCGTGTAGCAGGCAAAAGCGTCGCTGCATGCGTTGGTGGAGCGCTTGGCGCCATTAAAAATAGAGGTTGTAGCACCCCGTGCTCAGAACCAGTTACTGGTTCAACTTCTGGATGGCCGAGGGTCCGTGGGATCCGCTCCGGCGCCAACGATTTCGCGTTCTCTTGCGCCGGATCCCGGTACGGCTTGAGTAAGCCCACGTAAAACACCGGGTGGGTGCGCATCTGTTTTGGAAGGTTCAGCGTATACGCTAGGCCCCGCTTGGCCACAACCTTAAACGGTATAATAAACCGTGAACAAAGCTTCGTCCGGAAGATAGCAGAGGCTGCACGTGTAGGCAGGTTCCTCAAATTTAATATAACCAGGGCCCCGACCTTAAAACTTTCCACTTTTCCTTTTTCATCTGCAAATTGTTTCTGCAGGTCTAAGCTTTCAGCCATCGCATCGCGAACGTTTCGTAGAACACTCAGTCTGGTT